TTTATCACTAAGACGATCCTTCTATCTCATATAACAATCTTAAAAATGTTTTATATATCAACAGGTGGTTTTTCGAGCCTACTTTTATATTTGGCCTCGAGCTACTTCTTTTGTCCTCCAAGACAACATATCCATTACAGAAGGAATTTGTAGTAAGTATGATAATAAATTGTGGTAAAGTAAAATCAAATATTTTTGTGGGGTCAATTTTTCGAGGTCTGAGGGAATAAATATTGGTTTATAAGGACTTGTTTCGTGGTGGATATAAATTCATAAGTCTCTCCATACCTCGAAAACAACAAAAATTAAACTCAAGAAAATTCATGATTACACAGTACTAAAGACTATAGATATATGCTTTACCATAGTGATTTGAGATCCTTATATAATCAACTTGTTTGTCTATACCTTATCTAGTTTAAAATCAGAAATAAGCTATCATCTACAGTAAATTTTTTAAAGACAATTGTTTTTGTTTATCTATGTGCATATAGGCCTATATATTATTGTAAAAATTTGTAAATTTTGAATGGCAATTTAGATTTTAGACATGGAAGAGGACCATCTAAGTTTTTGGAACTTATAAAATCCAATTGACATGATGTCAATACAATATGTTCAAAACAATTTTTTTAGAAAGCGCACCAATTTGCATTGCATTTGTATGATTTTAGAAACATGCAGTCCTGATGAATTCAGATGCAGCGCTGACCGGGATGAATGTATTCCACTAGATAAAGTTTGTGATCTTGTATCTGATTGTCTGAATGAAGAGGATGAGACGCTTTGTGGTGAATATTATTGACATTCTTTGTTTTTCACTCATTTTTAATACGAAGGACGTGTTACTGTTTTCTCAATAATTCCATAGAATATGAATTCAATCATAACGTTTTTCATTTATTTAGTTGCCTTTGTAAGGATAAAATATTTTTTACAAAAAAAGAGAAATATTGAGGACCAAATAATTTTTACAAAATAGAAATTAAAAATTATTGAAGCAAAAAGGCAACTTTCCTCTTCTAGCATATTTTGGAGAACCCAATCTGTTGCGAGCATTGAATGGGAGTTTCCGTTTTTCTGTTCTTATGCCCCATATTTGAGTTTTCTAATTAAATACATATACAATGTATATTTTTTAATTTCAGGGAATATCAGTAGATCCCTCTGCAGTCAAGACCAGGCCTTGAGTTCTCAGAATTTATCCAGACGACATGAGGAAGATCAGACACAATATGCCCCTGCCACAAATATTTGCCGTGACTGGGATCAATGCCCCTTGAATTCATCGAGCACTAGTTTTCTATATTGCCCTGTTAACTGTTCCTGTGTTGGTTTGTCTGTTAGTTGTTTGGCTTCAAATGCCCCGGTTTATGCTGTCTCTGTGTCTTTCAATGGTTTACTGCATGAAAATCTAGTAATAAGTGAAGGTCTGTTTCCAAACCTGAAACGAATTGTCATCACAAATTCTATAATTGGTTCACTTAATATTAGCAATGAACATATAGAGATAATGTCCATCCAAAACAGTAAGATTACCAATGTTTTCTTTCATAAAAATTCCTTCCGATACATAAATATCAACGAATCTTCATTTGAAAACATGTACTTTTTTCATAATTTTGATGGGTATATCTTTGATATATTAGAATTCAATGTTCAGAAAAGTTATTTGAATAATACATTTGATTTCGTTGTTCCATATTATTTTAGGAATAACTTTACATTTGAATCCCATGTTCTGACTGGTTTATTGAACAAAACGGACTCTAAAATAGAAGAAGGAAAGGGTGTCCGTCTACAAATGGTGGAAACAAGGGGATTTCATCACATGTTTGAGAAACTTCGCTTTACTGTGGTTGATTTTAGTAATAGTTTTTTAACTGATCAGCCAGATACATACTATGAAACATATACGCTTAATTTAAGCCACAATCGTTTAACCACATGGCATATAGTGTCTTTGATACAAGTTTTACATCTTCAGCATAATTTGATAGTTTCGATCAATTACACCATTGACCTTGGCATATCCGAGGCTCGGCTTCATTATCTTGATTTATCGTATAATAAGATTAAAAGAATAGCCGATAATGAATTAGCTGTCTTAAACAACCTCATGTATCTTAAACTTCAACACAATGTCATAAGTTACATTCATCCAAGAGCATTTTTAAAATTATCTGAACTGATATATTTAGATTTATCAAATAATCAACTCCGTGATTTGGAACGCTATCATTTTATTCATCTCTTGAATCTTCGCTATCTTTATCTCCAAAACAATAACCTGAGGGTAATGGAAGGAATGTTTGATGGTCTGATAAGTATTCAATATCTGCGAGTGGATTCCTACACACTTTGCTGTGCACAACCAAAGGCTGTCAGCAAAATGCATTGTTTGGCACCCGTAAACGAAATTTCCTCCTGCAACGATTTAATAGACATACCTCTTCTCAGTATAGCAATATGGTATATGGCCCTTCTAGCTGTATGTGGAAATTTGTTTGCTACATGTCATAAACTGCTTTTGCTTAATAAAAAATCAAGTTTATGTAAACCATTCGATATCTTGGTTTCGCAGACTTTCTAATGGGTGTTTATCTTTACATCATAGCAGGAGCTAATTTAAAATTCAGCGATCGCTATGGTTTTGAGGATTTCGCGTGGAGAAATAGTCCTTTATGTACTTTTGCCGGTGTCCTAGCTACTCTATCTAGTGAAGCATCCGCTCTTTTTGTACTTTTTATCAACATTGACAGAATTTTAGCCATTCGATTTCCATTTGCATTGTTGAATAAGGAAATCAAGATTGCAAAGATCATTTCCATGTTAGTGTGGATGGTTTCTTTCTTGCTGTCATCACTGCCCTTATTTGGGATTGAGTACTTTAAGGATTATTACTCCAGTTCTGGGGTGTGTATCTCTTTACCTCTATCAGTTCTCCGGAAACCAGGATGGGAATATTCTATGGTACTCTTTGTGGGGGCAAACTTTGCCATCTTTCTAATAGTTCTCCTTGGGCAAATGCTCATATTTATGGATGTTGTTCGATTTGAGAAGAAAGCGAGCCGTCAATCGATTTCCCCAAAACGAACAGAAATAAATATAGCCAAATCCCTAATGGCGGTTGCAGTTACAGATGTGCTTTGTTAGGTTACCATCGGAACTATAGGTAAGGAAGTGTTAACATGTATTTAATACTCAGGTACATTGCAATTAAAAAAAAAATCAATCATGTACATTCAGTTAAACTACTATAAGTTTATGTGCAACATATTGCTTTTAAAACAGTTTGTTTAACGTGTATTTAAAAATTTAACGAACGCGGCCAAATTCAATTGCTTGCTCTAAAATGATTTGTCTGTTTTGTAGGGTTTCTGACATTTATGGGAATTGACGTCACCAATAAGGTGTACGCCTGGGTCATTGTTGTTGTTCTCCCTATAAATTCGGCACTGAATCCTCTGATCTACCTGTTTTCTGTGATGATGAATCGTAGTGAAGAACAGAGATGTGGTTCTAAATCCGATGAACAGGTTGTTTTTTATACATTCATTGTTGTAAACCTTATCATAATGTACATGTACAGTGTACATGTTGGTTGTGTTTTTAATTTTCGATAGATAAAAAAAGTTTTTAAATAAATAAATATTTTATAATTGTAATCTTCTCAGAGATCTTCTTGGACATCAAGCTTTACAAGTAACGCGAAAACAAAGGACGGATCAAACAAGCATCAGGTATTTCCTTTTGATTTCCTTTAAAATGCTTACTATTGTTCTCACTAATTTGTTCTTTAAACATTAATATGTTTTCCCCTTAGGTATCAACATCAGGTGGAAGACCAAACAATTTTGTCAAGCCATGGATCGAAAATGAAGAAAAACAAAGGAAATCGAACATACAAGTCATTTCTTTGCAACGTCTTAAAGTCGATTAAGATTTTCTTTGATTAAATAAAAAAGTGTTTCTTTTTGACAGATGATTTGATCTATTCTATGGTTATATATTGATAAAGAAAGCAATTGTTTTGCTCTTAGCCAAAGATATACATGTATACGTATGTAACATAGAAAAAGATTATGATACTGTACATAGTAAATATTCAGTGTTTGATAGCATATACGATATCACAATATTTGCGAGCTATAATTCACAGTCTCACAATATATACTGCATTGATTTGCTCTTTTGTTTGTGAACATGTATACCTGTATTCTTTTTATAATAAATACATTTATATCCAAAGTTTCCCTGATTTTATTTTCTAAGGACCATTTAGATCGTTCAAAAAGTTATATTGTGAACTTTCATTGTCGAAATATATAACATGTACAATAATACACTTATATCACTTATATACATGATCTTCTACATATTTAAAGTAGTAGAAAATAAAATCTTCTTAAAATATACAAATATTAATTGTAAAAATGAAAAGAATAATTGTTAAAACGATAACTTTCATTTTGAAGAGAATAAATAATTTGATAAGTTCAAAACTTTCTCCATTAAAAAAAACCCATCACACCATAGCATTAAATGACACTCATAACTATGAATTGACAGTATATTATTCATTAAAACATGCTTTGATTTTGCATTCTTTTTACAATGATACATATGGAGGTCAAGATAAAAAATATTCATTAATACGAAATCCCTAAAAAACATTTGAAGAATAACTAACAAATTGCTTTTAATCATATATGGACATGTGTTCTAACATGCATGTTAAAATCTTCAGAATTTGATTTTTTGTCTACCAAAAACGCGCTTTTCATTGTTTATGTTCTTCTAGAAAGCAGTGTCCAATACTTTTTTCCTTATCTTGATCTTTTCTTTAACTGTCGATCATCTAAACAATTTGTTTGCACTTACAGTTAATTTCGCTACTGACCATGTTCCATATAAGTTATTAGCAGAACTTGAAAACGTTTTCGAAGTGAAATTTTTCCAATTCAAACTGCGTCATATTTACAGTAAGCTGTGTTCCCTGCTTGACACTTTAGTTGGATTATTTGAAGATTATATGATATGCCGGGTAGGCTTGGCTGTCATGAAATATCACATACATTTCCGGATTAAAAGGATTATCAGAGGCAGAGTCATAAGTCACATGACTTCTTGCGCCTGGTTTTGGAGGCAAAACATTCATGCTACTTTTCCCCTTGCAAACATCACCAGTCGCCACTTGGACACAGAACATGTGCTTGAGTCCATTAAAATCAGGTCTGCAATACCCCGCAGAGTAGGAGGCATTCACAGCAAAATAAACCCCAGCACCAAACCTAGTACCTAGTGTTTAAAAATTCATTTATTATAAAAAAAATTAAATCCAATTAAATACTCGTTTAAATAACTATCAGTTTGGTTCTACATGGGATCAAAAGAAATTGACATTTAATGTGTTTACTATAAATATGTGCACGTTCACATAATTTTTTATTGGCTACATGTTGATTGACAAACATATCTTTTTGTTGTCAACAAACAACAGTGCTTTTATCATGTTTAAAATAATCTTATTTACAATACATGTATATGTATATAAAGTTCAATTCAAGTTTGCAAATCGCCGTTTTGTTCTTTCGAATTCCCAGTCATGACCCAGTCCAAGACAGCAACTTGTACCTACCATTCTTGCCACAATATCTCCTATTAAATCCATTGTTGATAACTTTATCTACAGTGTCTGGGTACGTCCCATGCCACAACCATTGCTGGGGGTCTTTTCCATTCTTTACTTCGATTTCCTTCCGTTTTGCAACATACTGCTGATACAGATATGGGTTTTGCACCCTGCGTATCTATGTAAATAGACAAATATTTTTTTTCCATTAGAAAAAAATGTCATATTTAAAACTTCAACAAACAATAAAATTAGGTTAATTAAGTACTTCTAATCTCCTAGCCTGATCCCATTTCTGGAATTTCCAGGAATCTGCGTTCCTGCCCTCTTCACAGAATTGGAATACTTATCAGCAGACTCGTAAAAAGTAATTATTTCGTAAGTTGTATGGTCGATACACTGACGTTGTCAGCAAATACAATTCAAAGGTCAAAGCTGACTGAAGTTTTTTAAACTAATTGTTAGCTCATTGTCTAGACACAGAATTATCGACGGATTATTTTTTCTGTTATTTCCCGATCGTGACAAGGAGCAGTGGCGGGCTATCGGTCAAGGGGATGCTCACTCCTCCATGTCACCTGATTCCACCTCTGATGATTTTGAGGTCCATGTTTGCTCTGCTCCTATTTTGTATCGTTTGATGGACTTTTGAGCAAAGATATTCTGTCTACATATAGTTCAATATTGATTTTTTTAAATCAATCTTTATTCATTATCTTCATTTTTTTCATTTCTTTAGAAACAAAAGAGAAAAGGTATGTTTTAAAAAGGATTATGGACTTAATTTGCGTTTCGGTGCTTAGTTAAATTGATTTCATCGTTTCTCGAGGAAATTCAGTTCTATGATAAAACTCAGATGGAGTACTCTGAATCAATATTATAGCTATATAAATATACTAATATATCATATTTTAAGAATCATTGAAAGAAGGATCTTGTATAAACATAAACATATTTTACGAGGGTTGTCCCATAAAATCGTGGACAAAGCGTTTTTCTCGAAAAGTAATGGGTGCACTAAGCTGAAATTTTCAGTAAATGTTTATTTATCATATTTAAGTGAATTATTATGTTTTTGCTAATATATATTCAAAAATAAAGATTTATTCTGTTTGAATGTGCACAAGGTACGGTACTACGGCGCACGGTAAAAATAGAAAGATTATATTAGAGAAGACACAAGAATTAATTCGTAATAAAAGTTTTCAATATATAATATTAGGATGAAAATTATCCTAATTCGATTCCTTTATCACTTCTGTTGTCTTTTAAAAAATTTCAAGGCATTTGGTTAATTTTTGGCAGTATCCCGATCATTCGAAATCAAAATGTGGTAAACACAATACACGAAAAATGGCGACTTTTGATGACGTTACGGCGCACTGGGGAGCAGTTCAGATAGATTGGGATGTTGTAATGACGCCTTAAGAGACTTGAAATGAATACAGAAGAAAGGGAATATGAAAAATATCACCAGATCTTTAGTATATAAATGAAATGAAAGTTTTCTTCGCGAAGTCTTCGTGGTTGAGTCCCCAGATAGTACAAAACATATGGACAGACTACTATTGTAATAGCAAAGGACGCAATCACTGTCGACCGTCGATGTGAGATTCTCTTTTAGTTGAATGATTCTGAGAATACTGTCCGTAACTTGCTAATAAATATTCAGAAGATCGCATGAGTGTGCCACATTGGTTCCTTATCTGGTAATAGACACTCACGTATGTAAATCAATAAAATTTCTAAATTTAAGTGGGGCTTATCCAACTTTAAGTTTAGCAAAGATGAAACATGACGCTGTTTTAGACACTTTGACGTTATCATCCGTGCGCCGTAGGGCGATACAGTACAAAACATAAAATATCACAATTTAACTATTTATGCATATATCTATTTGAAATTTGCCATGTATATTCATAATATATATACTAAAGAGTGGTGAAAATTTCAGAACGCAGTGATGATCCTTTTTCAAACTGGACAACTTGTCCACGATTTTACGGGACAACCCTCGTATAAACAAAAGAAATTATTGCCTCCCTGATTGATTTTTTACTCTATAACGTTACACCCTTTCTTTAATTTAATTAATATTTCTTTTATCATTACTTACATGATGCTTGCTCTTTATTTCAACAAGTGACCGATCATTGAGTTTTTTTCTTTATATATTTATCATCATTTTTTTTGTAGTTTACAAATTCTCAGATGAATAAAAAATGTAGGATAGGATTTTTTAATGTGATAAATTAAAGAATAATTGTCCTACCTCTGAAATTGACACTGTTTTGGTACTGGTTGCCTTGAACTTTGACATGACCTCTTCATATTCATCGTCCAAATAGTTCAAGGTGATCTCGACCACAGTCTGATTATTTCCCATAGAGACCCATGACTTTGGCAGCCCAATAGGAAACCCTTAATATCAATTCATAATATATTTTGTACAATTACTTTCTATTTATTTTCGCTTTATTATTAATGATCTAAAAAGTTTATTCAAACATGATTATTTACATTTTATTCATCCAGTGTTTCAGACATTGCTTTTTTTAGGTATCTATCTTTACAAAGACCTAAAAGGGATCTTTCTTCTTATTATATCTAGATTGAATAATTAATTGTATATATAGTTTAACATTCCTTTCGAGATTTTTCACTCATACAGAGACGTCACCGTATGCCGGTGAAGTATTGCCAGTTTTGGATCATTAGTTATTCCCACGACAATGATAGTTTTGGGTGATTATCAACACTTAAGACTAGACGTTCCTCAGGATGCTAACCAACTTTTCATGGTAGCAGAGCGTGTAAACAGCGAAAAAAACATGGTTCGTAGCTTCAAGAACCTCCCGCTTTTGATCAAAAGTCCATGACCTATGAAACATGGAAAAACAAAGTTGCTTTGTGGCAACTGGTAACAACATTGAAGAAACAAGTCCTGGCTGTGTCCTTGTTCCTGACTGGAAATGCTAGATAAACAGCAATGGAGCATCCAGGGGAGGAAAAGAGGTATGATTTCAATAAAAATCTTACCCTGTGATTTCCTAAGAAAATGGAACTCGAGTAAAAGATCAAAATTCAAGCTTTCTGAATCATTGAAATTCTTTGCAGAAAATCCTAAAAATTATTTTTCTCACATACATTTATAAATGCTAATTATGACGTCATAAGCATGTGCATTTTCCCGTATTTTCTTAAAAAGTGGCAAAAGACAGCAATTTTCAATAGCAATTTCTTTCAGATAAGTATGTCCACAGGCATCACTCACAAAGATTTTCATATATGTGATTTTTCATAGAATTTTGCACAATATATCCAAAAAGTAAAGTGTGCGACGGCTGTGGACACTATTTTCTAAAGGAAAATTACCCTTGAAACAAGCCTTTTCTGTTTAAAGTAGAGAAATGCATCAAATTAATGACGTCAAATTTCCTATATGGTACTACTATATTCCATATTCTTTTTTTGATGTATCACAGTCAAAAACTCGACTAATATATAAGCCAATTTCAACACATTTTGAAAACATTTAATTTTTAGGGCACGATAAAGTTAAAACCAAATCTTCTTCTTAGGAATCACGGTAGCTCAGTCGGTAGAGCGCTCGCTTCGTGATCAGGAGGTCGTGACTTCGTATCTAGGCCGCGACTGACCTAGTCGTTAAAATGGGTAGCAACTGTTCCTTCGCCATGCGCTCGGCACTTTGAAGTGAAAGTTGCGGGTCCTCCTGATGAGACCATAAAAACCGAGGCCCCGTGTCAGCGGCAGGCGTTGGCACGATAAAGATCCCTCACAGCTCAATGGCCCTGAGTGCCGAGTAAAGGTCAAAATTTGAAGCCTTCACTGGCATCCGGTGACGTCTCCATATGAGTGAAAAATTCTCGAGAGAGACGTTAAACAATATACAATAATCAATCAATCTTCTTAGGAACAGAAGACGGTATGAAGAAACAATTCGTCGTAATAACACAATTAGATAAAGTTTTCTTCAAGATGATAAAGATAAGGCATATGAGGGCTACAAAAACTTTGATGTGTTTAAGAAAACAGAAATTATGAAAATAGCTAATTACATTGTTGAGTTTGATAAACGATACAACAAGGCCAAGGAATTTTACATGTCACTCCCTGAGGCAGTTCATGGAGAATGCAGGACTTTCCGTACAAGAAAAAAAACAGCATAAACTACAGGCACATACCTCAAATACAAAGCTATGAAGTCAGCATTACAAGGGATTTTTTGGTGAAACTCTGAGTTCTAGTTCAGATGTGAAAACTGATTACCCAGTCATAACAATTAAAACAAAAGAAACTAAACTGCAAGCGAAAAGGGACGAATCTCCTAAACAAGTTTGGTAAAATAACAAAGTTTGCAATATGTCAGAGTGTGTTTCATTGGGTAAAAGACTGTCCAGAGAAAAGATTTTCAGTACAGTTAGCAGAATGTGACTCTGACACAGTTGAGAATTGCAATGTTGCTTTACTTAAGAAAGATCAACCAACCGTGAATGAGATTTTCATCCTAGAGCCTTTAAGAGCTTGCACCCGTAAATTGTGTGGACAGAAATGGTTTGATTTGTTCTGTAAGGAAACACATGAGAAAATACCAACAGTCACACGTTATCGGGCATTCAAGTTTGGGGACGAAAAAATAATCTACGTGCCAAGATACCAGCCATTATTAAGAAAACAAAATGCAACTTAAAAACAGAAGTTGTAAAAGCTGACATCCCTCTTTTATTAAGTAAATCAACACCCCCTAAAAAAGACAGGAACAGTTCTGGATTTGAATAATGACAAAGCAAATATGTTTAATTAGCCAGTGAGCCTTGAATTCACCACAAGTGGACAATACTGTGTAAGAATTCTGACAGGTTCGTATACAAATGAGGTCAGCTAATTGAAAGAGGAAATTCTAGATGTCACGGAAAACATGAACAAAGCCGAAAAGAATAAAAGTAGTGACGAAGCTTCACAAACAGTTTGGACATGAAACGCAAGAAAGACTGGCTCAGTTATTGAAAAGTGCTACGACAAAAGACAAAGAAACGGTACTATGCGTACAGTGGTTCGGAATCACATTGAGGCACTATACTCCTCTTAAGCAGCTTTCACAAAAAGCAAATGTTCTGAGAGACCCACAAAAAAATTGAGAAAACAGACACACTCAAGTGGTGATCAGTAACAGAATGGAGGTCAGGTTTACTACAAACGGCCAGGTAGTGAAAAGTGGAAATGCCCCGGTGTCGTTATAGGGCAAAACATTTCAGTTATCGTTGTAAGACAAGGTGGAATTTGTGTTCTTGTACACCAGTGTAGAAAAAAAAAACAAACGCAGTTATGGAAGACACTGCAGATAAACCTAAAGGAGACGAAGTGATTACACAACAGCAGGCAAGAGATAATTGCATAGAAGAAAACATTGACTATGAAGTTGAATAGGATAACGTGGATAAACAGATTGATGGAGTGGACAGCGAACATAATGAAGGCAATAACCAACAATAAAAGTTAAAGAAAGGTTAAGTTATCAAGTAGCAAGATTTACATTATTGGAAAAGGTGTGTTGAAAAAGTTATTGGACGAGCAGGTAAAGCAACAAGAAACAACAAACAATGTATATGTTGAGGAGAAGAACATTGGCCAAAAATTTATTTCAACAAGGTAGATTTGCTGCCTCAAAGACATTGATGAAGGAATAAAACACAAAACCAGACTTGTAGCTCGGGGATTTGAAGAAGTAGACAGAGAAGACATTCCAAAAAAATCGCCAAATTGTGGTTTAAATTCTGTCAGACTCGTCTTAACTGTATTGGCTCAAAGAAATTTGAACGTTCACACTATGGACATTAAGGCAGCATTTCTTCAGGACTCAGAAATTGGACGCAAGATTTGTGTCAAACCGTCACCAGAAGCTGGTTCTAAAAGTGTAGTACACTGTATGGCAACTGCGTAAATGTGTGTATGGGCTGTCTGATGCCTCTGTAAGCTGGAACAACATGGTCAAAGAAGAACTAATTGGCAGTTGTACAGAGGTTTCAAAAGCTGATCCAGCAGTTTTCTTTTCGAAGAATAGCAGAGGGTACATGTAATCCTTGGTTGTCATGTAGATGACTTCTTATGAGGAGGATCAGTTGAATTTTAGAACAAGGTGATCAAGGAAATAAGATCAAACAAGATCATCAGAAGAATCAAGTCGGAGAAGGTTACCCTGTAATTTCAAAATCTTGGACAGCAAAGCGATATACCGGTAAAGCTTGTGATATTTTGTGACTCGTTCCTTTGGAACTTGCCTGATGGAGGAACTCAAGGAGGACATTTTATTGCTCTCTTTGGATCTAATGGACACTTCTCACCCTTAACCTGGCAGTCAAAGAGAATCAGGAGAGTAGCAAGAAGCACACTTGCCGCAGAGACGCTAGCTATGACCAATGCCATTGACAATGGAGTGTACTTAGCTTCACTTTATGGGGGATTTACCAATAGACCAAACTTATCCATTATTTGTGTCACTGACTGTCACTCTCTCCAAGATGCAATTGAATCGACTAAGCAGGTATAAGAAAAAAGATTGAGAATGGAAATTACCGGTATTAGAGAGTGGATCCAGCAAAAAATAATCACTAACGTAAAATGGATAGAGAGCGAAAATCAGCTGGCTGACTCACAAAAAATGAGCATCGTGTCTGAATTTACTCAAAGAACTACAAAATGGTGTTTGGGCAAACAAGTGTTTGAAACAGTAAAGAGTCTCTAGGAAACTTTGTAAATATTGTATATTCCAGTATATTTTGTTTGCAAAGAGAGTATTCAGTTGACTTTTGGATATTGCTGCCACGGGGATACATGTACGAGGGTCATTCAAAATATACATAGAATATGTTCCTCATCGTCATATTATTATTTCAAGATGATCGCTGAACACATTATCGTAAATTAACACATTATCGAACATTTATTTTGTCGAGATGTGAAGGTTTATTTCATTTGATTGAATAGAACTCAAGCTAGCCAAATTTTAAAGCAGCATGATTTGTTACAACCACGGTTAACCAACATTGTTATGTCAAAAACAACACCGAGAATCTTTCTCAAAATAACTGCTTTTTCATTTCATACACGATTTGTAGCGTCTTCTCTATTCACAAAAACGTATTAATAACACTTAACACCTAGTTTGCTAACAATTGTGCAAATAGTTTGAACTTGGTTGTCAGTGTTTTCAATTCTTTACCGCACACATGTAACTCGATTAGATCCGCAAAATTGAAACGCTCAACACGTTAAATGACTTTCCTTACTTTTTTGACATAATTTTTAGCTAAAACCTTTTTCTTTGCAGATCTTTCATCGTCCAATTCAAACTCGCTACCATCCAAAAGTTGTATTTTTCATATATACAAATTCACGACTTA